TGTTTCCTCCATGTGGAAGCAATAAATAATTTTAATGATTTTAATTTTCGAATCGTATTTTGTCAAAAGATCATGAAGTAATTAAGAGGAGCATATATATATATATATATATATATATATATATATATATATATATATATATGTTTTTGACAGATTATACACACATTCAAACATGCGTATATTTCACATTTTTTCCGATTCAACACGTTCTTTCGTATCTCTCATTCTTCCTCTTTGAAATAATTGTGTTCACACTCATTCTGCATGAATATATGTCGATTCTCCTCTTTACCCTTAAGTTTTTTAACAAGTAACGCAGTACATACACACACAATTATGATGTCATCTATATATGTATATATGACACTTGAGTTTACGTACGTATATATTTATAAAATTTTACCTCTGTTTATGTATTAAACATATCTATGTATATGTATATTTACTCGATGCATATTATATGTACTTGTCGGTCGTTGATGCATGCGGATTGTATGTACGCACATTTCGAGTCTGAAAACTATAATCACTCAAGGCGTGATGACATTCCAGTCGAGTTGAATCTTCAAGTAAATCCATACTCTCCACCCTCTTTGAGTTGGGCTGAATAAAAAGAGAGAATCAGTCCTCATTTTATTTTATTTTTTTTTGTCTTTGTTTTGTTTTATTACACTTGAAGGGAAAATATGCCGTTGCACCGCATATATATACAAAAATAATTTCGTTATTAATTATATAGTTCTCTTAAAAATTTTATTGCACAAATTATAAATTGATTTTTTTTTGCGCCGAGAGAAATAAGAATATTTTTTAATAAAACATGGGTATTATGTTGTTGTATAATTTAAGAGTCAAGTTTTTAAACATTTTTTGTGTTTAAGTTTTTTTTTCATATTTCTGCTCTATTTTAATTTTTACTTCAGTAGTTTTACGAAAAATTGAAGCAAAAAGGGCGCCATTTTAATTTCTGTTTCCAAAATTTACGTAAAACTGGAGCAGAAATTAAAAAGCTTCGTTTTTGCTCCAAATTTACGTAAAACTGGAGCCATTACGAATTTTAAAAATCTGACGTCTGTTTCGTAATCCGAATAAGGAGTGTCAAGTGAATACAAATAATTTTGAAAACATTCCTACTCAGAGGTTTGCAATAATCAAACAATATTTACAGTAGGTGGCTTATTTAACCCTTTAACTCACAGTGGTTTCGATCGATACCACTTTTGACTTAACCCTTTCATCAGTCATATATTTTTCTGTTCAACAAAGTTTATACGTATCATTGTACCCTTAAGAGTTTTTAGGATCACTGATTACAAATCTGAAATCCGTTTTTGAAAATTCAAAATGGCGGATCCAATATGGCGGACGACTTTTTATAAAATTGATCCGATTCGTTTGAAGTTAATCGGAGCTTTTCGGAATCGCTGATTACAAATCTGAAGTTTGTTTTTAAAAATTCCAAATGACCAATGAAAAATTAGATTTGGCAAATTTTTCGTTTTTTGCAAGTTTTTTTAAACTTTTTTTTATTTTATCAAAAAATCAATAAAACTATTGTTTTTCTTACTAAAAAACCAATAAAGATTACTATATTTAATTCGTTTTACGTCAAATAGAAATCTTTTTACACAAGTTTCAAGTTGGGGTGTCTAGACACCCCAGTTACCCTTTACAGGGTGAGAAAATTCAGTTACTCCTTCTAGGGTTCAAATTCAAAATGGCGGATCCAATATGGCGGACAAATTTAAAAAAAAATGATCAGATTCGTTTGAAACTCGTTATTTGGGGGTTTTCGGAATTGCTGATAACAAATCTAAAGTTCGTTTTTGAAAATTTCTCTGAAACTTGTTACTTAGGGTTTTCCCATTCGTTGCTTACAACTCTAAAGTCGGTTTCCAAAAATTAAAAATGTATCCAATATATCGGACATATACATTATTAAAAATTAGTTTGTAATATTTTTAATTTCGCAATTACAAACAATGACAAACTAAATTGACAATAGGAGCACAGATTTTCAATTGTTTTCATTCATGATAAAATTTTTGTTACCCTTGCGTAATACGTAGTTTAATCGAATCTGATAAATTTTTTAAAATTCGTCCGCCATTTTGAATTTTAAAAAAACTAACATCAAATTTGTAATCAACGACCCTTAAAACCCCCTAGTAACTATTTTTAGGCAAATTGGATCAAATTTTAAAAATGTCCGCCATTTTGAATTTTGAAAATTGGATTGCTTTAAAAAAGTAGGGAGTTAAAGAGGATTAAATATTAAAAAATAAAAAATTTAATCATTAAAAACTTTTGAGGGGTATTATAGCCCCTCACAACATTTATTTTGATCCACTTAAATTTAAATTATTAAACGAGATTATATTTTTTTTCTTGCGTCATTTGGGTCCTAAAAACATATAAGGTGGTTAAAAACTGAAAATTTTAATTTTTGACCATTTTAGAATTTTTATTTTTTGAAAAAATTAATATTTTTGAAAATCCATGCGAGAAATTATAAAGAATCATTAAAAATGTGTTAAAAAAATTTGACGATGAAAAATACTTAAAATTGTAAAAAAAAGGATACATATTTAATAGAAGAGTGCAATGATATTTTAACTGATATTTTTCTTCCTTTTCTTGAAAAAATTTTGAATATCCATGCGAGAGATTCTTAAGAATCATTAAAAAAGCGTGGAAAAAAATTGGCGGATGAAAAATACTCAAAATTGAAAAAGAAGATAGATATTTAAAATATTAATTTTTTTTAAGAAATTAATTTCTAAAATAGTGAAAAATTAAATTTTTGTTTACCATCCTGTATGTTTTCAGGACCCAAATGATGCAAGATAAAAAAAAATATCTTCCTACGATCATTAAAATGTAAAGGATACAAAATGAAGGATGTGACTCCCCTTAAAAAGCGTTGTATTTTAGAAGTAATTCAAATAGCGCTAGTAGTAGTGTACAATTTTTTTTAGTTTTACTGGACCTATACATAGGTTTCTACACGAAGAAAAAAGAAAAAACGAATAAAGTAACTTTTACTACTTTAAAAGAAAAACCACAACTGTCCGCAGTTTCTGCGCATTTCTGTCAATTTTTACTCCAGAAATAGTAAAATTTATTATTTTTAGAATAATTTTTACTATTTCAGGAGTAAATTATACTATTTTCCAAGTAAATTTTACTATGTTTGGAGTAAGAATTTCTAGAAATGCGCAGTAACTGCAGACAGTTCAGGTTTAACTTTTAAAGTACCCATGCAGAAATTGCCTGCCTTTGCCCTATTTAAAGTAAGGCATTGGTAAGGGCCTTATCAGTTTTCCCTGTTTGAGTAAAATGTGAACAAATTAAATTTTTAAAGTTTTTCCTTCATAAAGTGTTATTAACAATAAAATAAAATCGTTTTACAATAATTTTAGATATTTTTTTATTTTAGTGTTTTGACCAGAATTCCCGACCAAAATCCCAACTAGGGTATTCCATATATGGCCCTGTCAAGGGCCTTTTCAGTTTTCCTGGTTTAAAAAAATTCAAATTAATTAAGTATTTAAAGTTAACATTTCGAAAAATGTTATTGTAAATTAGTTAAATGATTTCGATTTTAAATAATAATTTATTTCTTATTACTAAATTTTCTTATGGGTTCCTGTTATGTAAATTCCCTAAGTATGGAACTCTCCATAGTTACCACGGTATTGACACATTTTTCAGAACGATGGCGCAAAAAAAAATGTTTATGTAAAGTTTGAGAAGTATTAATTAAAAGAAGATAATAACTATTAAAAGTAGCAAATTACATTGGATAAAATAATAATTTATAATTTTTTTTAAGTTACATTGGATAGTAAAATTAACTGGATAGTGACAAGAATGTCCTTAAATATCATGCAAGCCTTCCTAGCGTGCGTGCGTGGTTAGTTGGTTAAGTTGTCGGCTTGCGAATGTTAGGGTCGTGCGTTCAATCCCCAGCGTTTCGGGATTTTTCTCTGTTAGGTATATAAATTTAAATATTTTAGGCATGTACAAACGAAACTAGTAGGGGAGAGGATGAAAAAATGGATCTCAATACTAATACTTATAATAATAAATTTACTACTTTGAATAGTTTTTTTTTACTAAATTTTACAGTTAATTTTACAATTTTTACATAGTTGTTTCAACTATTGTTTGTTATAGGCGCCCCCTGGAACTAGGAGAAATGTAGTCAATGTCAATTAAATGCATCAATTAAATGTAGTCAAATATACCATGAATTTTTTTGAGTTTATATAATATAAAAAAATAGGATATGCGTATGGAAAACTGGTAAGGCCCTCACTAGTTTTCTTTACCTAGGGCATTGGTGAGGAAAATCATTACACCCTTGTGAGGCTCTGATCAGTTTTCTCGACAAGGCCCTTATTAGAGATCGGGAAAACTGGTAAGTACCTCATGAGGTCCACATCACGATTTCTGCACGGGTAGTAATAAAAATTACTTTATTTGTTATTCCATTTTTCTACGTGTATAAAAGTACAACTACATATTTTCTATTTTTTTTTTGTTACACAGTGTTATCAAACTATATTTACACCAGTTATTATCAAATCTAAATATTTTAAAATAAAAATCTTATTCATCAAAAACTATCAATGGATATAATAGCCCCTGGCATGGTATAATTACCCCAGTTGATGGTATATTTGGAGAAAAAAATTTTTTTATTTTTTTTATGTGATTCTACCTTACTGGTCCCTGTATTCTGGCGCCCTTGACTTAAAACACTAACAAGTGAAACGAAGAAAGAGCGAGAGATGAATAAAGATGGAACGAGAGACAATTGTGTATATATGGGGTGGAGTGAAGAGAAGAAGAAGAAGAAGAAACAGCGAGACACCCGTTGCGTCCCGCGAGTATTTGTTCGCGTTGCGCGCTCAATGGTATATCAGTGTGGATGTTCTCCTTTGGTTAATAGTATTGGTGTGGACTTTCTCATTGGTATTGGCCGCGGCGGCAAGCGGCGTTCACACGTTTCCCGTCATCCACTTCGAAACCGGGTCCCTCAGTCGAGCGTCGTTCTTCGCCCGGGGTGGTTGTTATCACGCGATTCCATTAAAAAAAAAAATAATAATAAACCCCCGTTTATAATATTACCAAAAAAGAAAGAAAATATTCTTATCTTGTTATCAGAAAATTTTTCATTAACAATTTTTTTTTTTTTTGACACTCGTCGACAATAATTTCAGACAGGTGTTTAATTATATGTGTTGGTGATTATCTGTGCGCAACAAATTACTTCTAATCGCTGTCATTTACTGTGTGACCTCGTGAGTTTTTAACGTATTGGGGTAAACAGTCATGCCAAAGCTGAAAAACGTATTTTATATTTAAAAAAAAAAAAAATGATTCGTACTCTTTAAAAAGGACCACCCTTTCAAAACAGGGTTTTTAAAGATTTTCTTATCCAATCCTCAGCTGATTGTTCATTGATACTTGCTCTCAAAAAATCTATTTCAAAAAGTGTATTAAAAAATCAATGCGGAAATAACAATATTATTTAAAATTGACATTTGATTGATAAGAAATTCTCATTTATTTGATTTCAATGAACAGATTAGCACTAAAGAACAAAAAAATTTTGAAATAGAGGCAAAAAAAGTGGTCTTTGGGGCTAAGAGCTTAATAGGGGTGAAAGCGGTTTTTTTTTCTTCATATCGGTTTTGTTATAATTTTTACGAAAAATAGCATGTCATTAAATCTATTGGAGCAGGTTTCGTTTTTTAGATAAATGATAGTGCTCCTAATATCTCAATATTGTAGAAGATAAAAATTAGATGACATATAACTAAATTTCAAATTATTATTAAACTAATCGACTAAATAAACGACGTTAATTGGTTCTGTTTTTATCGGAGAAAATTTTCATTAGTCATTGACTCTATAGTTAAAGAAGAAACAATATTCTATATTGTCCTAAAGATTAGAAAAAATGGATTGCGAAAGAGTAATACAGTGTTGGAATAATACATCAATTGTCATCAAAACATTTCTTCTAATGGTTATTATGGTTGGATTTTTTCTTTTAGCATTTCGACAAAGTGTATTTGACTTGGATCCGTAAATTGAAATGTGACAATAATGTTTTATTTTTCCAAATAGCAAGAATGATATACCATAAAAAAAAATTTTGTTACTTTTTAATTAGTATAATTTTACAAACTTACGTTAGCTTTAAATTCTTTTAAATTTTTCCCATAACGTAATAATTTGGATCATAAAAAAGCAAACAATAATAACTATTAAATTTCAGATTTACGATTCGTGTTAATTAAAAAATAGGACAATTTTTGTATTTCGAAAATAATATCATTGCTGTATTATAATATAAGAGGAGTGTGGGTGGAAGTATAAGAGCATATAATCGCAAATCGACATACTCACCTCGTTAAATCATCGAGAGACAATGGACATCGACAAACCGTAGTAGAGAAACTCGCAGTTTTATTATTTTCATTGATTTATTATTATTATTCTGTTTTTTCTTCTTTTTTTTCTCTCTTTTTATTAATTCTCTGTTAGATATATATATATACGAAGCTGCAAAAAGGATCGACTCGTGAGAGTCAAGGGAGAGAGAAATAACAGGAGGGTGAGAGTTCGTAGGCGGCGACTAAATAACTAAGCGCAAACGATCCTTGGGGCGTGATAATACGATTTTTTTTTCGACCGGGGCTATTTGTTTCTTGCTAATGATTTTCTTTTCGCATTTATAATGCAATTGAAAATTTTAAGTTAAAAGAAGATTTTTTAAAAAAAGTACAAAGTTTTACTATTAAAAAATAAATTTTAATACATAAAAAAATAAAATAAATATGTTTTTTAAAGTCTGATTATGTAAAAAAAAAATGATTTAAATTAAATTGTCAGGACAATAGAAAAGTTGTTTTTTTTTAACTTTCAAACACACTTATTACTTTATTACTTAACTCTACTGCCGACGCTATAACTTTATCTAGAGTTAGGAATGTGTTTCCGATACTTCCCACTTCGATTTGACGTTTTAAATCATAATTTAAATTTATTGTTCTTAAAATCTTGAAAATTTAAATATAGAATGAGAAATAACAGTAATTTAATTTATTTAGAAAAATTTTGAGAATTGATCATTGTTTTTTTTCCAATGACGTAAGAACGATATTCAAAGTTATAAACTTAAACTATACTCAATTTTTTGGAGTTTATGTTGGAAAATAAATATTGATTCAATTGTTTCTTTTTTCCACACGGAAAAAAAGGAATTGCTTACAGATGCTCGTTTACTATCGGATCTATCAAAAATTAATAACCACAGCTAAATTTTTTGCTGTGATAAAGAATATTAGTGTTAATATTTAAAAATTTACCGTCACAGCAAACTTTTTTGACCCCACAGCAAAATTTGTTCGCGGTGCCTATATTAGCTAACGTAATATTTGCTGTTACAGCAAATTAGTTCGCTTCTACAGCAAACTTTTTCTATGCGTGCATCGAAAAGTAAAATATTTGCTTCTATTTGAAAATGAAATAAATCTTTTATTTTAAAATTAATAATTAATAACTAAGATTATAAAGTCATTGGACCAATTTATCTATTTTTGTGTATTAGTTTTATAAACATCGAAGATTTTTTTTTGTAATTTTAACACTAAAGACATGAATAAATCAGATTCAAATAAAATTGACGTATAAATAAAAAAAAAGTTAGGTTATGTTACATTTTTATTTATTTTGATTTTTTCCCTTGTTTATTATATACATTTTGTATATATTGTATGTACTTAGTTTTCTCATAGTATAAAGTAAAACAATTTATTATAATAACATTATTATAACGTTATGAAAATTTTCGTCATACAGTCGAGTTAATTCAGCTGTACGAAATAATAGACCTTTTCATTTCAATTCGGAAGTTGATTTTGCGCATGTCCGTTTTCCATTCTTTTCGACTCTGTTATGAAAGAGGAAAAGAGACACCATAAGATATCTGTCTTTTTTGCTCTTAGAGCCAAAACTTTTGGCGTCTGCGCACTAAATAGTAAGTGAAATAAAAAGGTCTATGCGCATGTCTGTGCTAACAAAATACACGGCAAACATAACATTACTTTTTTTGAACAGAATTCTTAACTAAAATGTAAGAAAATAGATCTTTTAATTTACAAAACAAAATTGTAAAAATGAGTTAATTATTTACACATTTACTTTAAAAAAAATATTTACTATTTAAATTTGTTTTTCTTTTTAATAAATTCACTTCAACGTTAATTGTTCATTATATTAATGATCCAAAAAACTATTTTACGGTTACTTGATTTTACTATAACATTAAAATGTTAACATATTAATTAAATGCAAATGGAGTGAAGCAATCACCACTGAGAAATGTAATGAAATTATAGTAATATATTTTTAGAGGTTATGTCGAATAACAAATATTGACTCAATTTTTTCATTAAGAAAGAAAAAATTTGCTTTCATTTGAAAATGAAACAGTCTTCTTTTTTTACAATAACCACATTTTTTTCCATAACTCGTCAAGTGTAAAATTTTCTTTCAAGAAATAATTTTCCATTTTATATTTTCTTCTTTGCTGAATTTGTATATATATATATATATATATATATATATATATTTATATATAGAGCTTGGATAAGAATCTTTCATGTCCCAGCAGGAAATACAAAGGAAAGGGTAAAATAAGTTTGTGCGCAGAACTGCGAAAGTATATAGGTTGTTGTCTTGACGCTCGTGCACGATATCGATTTTGTAAACGTTTCATCGTCGTAAATTTGTAGCAGACATTCTCACGCTATTTATCGCAGCTCATCTTGAATTTTGATTGTTAAGCGATTTTTTTTGTCGCACGCTAACCATGTAGGATGTCTGATTATATTTTGAAAAAAGAAACCGTCTTTCTGTCTGTATATGTGTGTGGCAATCAGCGAAAAAATGGAGAAGAGATAATGAAATGAGTATGTATATATATATATATAGCGAAAAAAAGAAGGCAAGAAAAAGAAAACGTTAATGGAGATGACGAAACTGAACCCCTCGTCGAGGGTAAATGAGTTAAAGAGTCCGCCAAGAGTGGAGATTCTGCCTCATTGGAAAGTAAACGAGAGACCGTCAGAACAACAGAGGGGAAGCAGCGTTGCATTAATATTATAAACAGCACTTTAGGATCGTGTTGAAAATCAATCGTCGAGGGGTGCTATTATACTGATGTAATCCGAATTAAATTATTCTTCCTGGAAAACCCTCTTATTAACATAGATATAAGGTTAAATATAGAGAAAACATACAATTCGGTTTATATATATTTTTGAATTGTAATTTTTGTTTTCTTTTTTTAGATTTTTTTTTCAAATTTTAAGGTTATGTGATTTCACATGTTAATACACCGCAGGTTTTTTTTGCGATTGAGCTAAAATTTTGTGGAGAACTCAAAAATAGGTACAAGAAATTACCAGAATGTTAATATTTTGTTAAAAAAAAAGTTATTTTTAAAAATAATCATATTTCAGAAAAGTTCAATATAGCGGCAGATATTATAGTCATTTCGACAAATATGTAATTTTTTAAAAATAAATTTAATAAAAACTGATTTTAATTTTACAAAAGTAAAAAGAAACTTTCATCAAACCATAAACATAAACTATAATTCGTTTGCTTCTAAGATCCCTTTCTTCAGTGTCACAGGACCTTAATTTACTTCTTTTTTAGAAGTTCTCGTAGATTGAACTTAAATTTTAGTTTAAAAACATGATTTTAATGAAAACGAATGCTTGATTTATTTTCATTATTATTACTTTTTTGTTTATTTTATTCCTTGAATATCATGATTTCTTGCTTTGGAATGAAGAAAAAGAAAACTTACAAAAAAAAGTATAACGTTTTAAAAGTTTTAAGAAAAAAATGTTAATCTCAATTTAATTCTTTGTCTCACGTATATGTAATAGAAGATAGGTATATTAGGAAGGAAGGAAATAACCGAGAGAGAGAGAGAGAGAGAGAGAGAGTGAGACTCGGTGTGCGAAAACGATTTTATATACATGCTCGTAAATCGAACGATAAATCGATAGGTCCAATACCTCGTAAAGTCTTATTCACACGACTATGCGTTTAACATCAATGCTCTTAGCGGGTAAACATTTACTCGCGCAATGGCCCCCTTGCATTTAAAGCCACATATAGTATCTTACAAATCACTAAAAGTGTCACTAGAAAGAAATAATGATTATGCAGAGGGTAAATTATTTTTCTTTTTTTTTTTTTTAACAAAAATGATTCGATAATAATAATAATAGACGACGTAATTTGTAAAATAAGTGACTCACTGCTTCAATGGTAGTTAGCGATATGACTCGTATGTAATTTATCGTGTATTATAACAAAAGTCACGTTAATAATACGTATTACTTTTTTTTTACGAGATAAGCTTCTTCCCTAAAAATTGTATTACTGGAAAAATTGATTTCTAGCGGAATTAAAAACAATTTTTATTTGTAAATACAGACAATAACTAAGAATTATCAAAAAAATAGACAAAAAAGGAACTTAAAAAAGTTACAAGTTTTGTGACTACAAAACTCTTTTGACAAATTGTTGCACCTATAAGGTCCAACATAAAGAGAAATATTTTCTTTTGCGTATACGTCTCTTCCAATTTATCGTAGAAGTAGCTACAATCGTGTAAATACAGTAGATAAGGAATTTAACGGCTTTGGCACGACGGTAGGGAGTTTACGAGTTGAAAACTTTGGTGAACTATAAAAAAAAAAAAAAAAAGTGGGGTTCGGGAGTGAAGGTGGATAAAAAGCACTGGGAAACGACTTTTCCATGACGAACTTTTTTTTTCTTTTTCTTCTTACAGAATATCTTATTATAAAGAGTGAAGATTCACTTCTCGTTTAAAAAAAAAAAAAAAACAGATTCCCCCCCCTCTATATTAAGAAGAAGAGCCTCGCGACATTAGACTGGATATTATAATGTAGTCGCGCGATTATGTAATATCAATGTGGTCAAAAAACCATTCGTTTTTAGAATGCCTTTGTCTCCGATACACGAACTTGTCGGAATGCCGTCGTAACTTTTTTGGGGGAAAAAAAGGGGGGGTCGAAGGATACAGTGAGTTTTAGTTTTGTGAAAGAGGTATATATACATATATAGAGAGAGAAACAGAGAGAAAAGAATAAAGGAAGAGAGAAAATAAAAAAGAAGGAAAGAAAAAAAGAAAGAGAAAAAAAAAAACGAAGAGGAGTATTCTCGAGGTTATAGAGGAGTGGTGGGCATCTCTCACACGTGTATTCAAGAGTGGTGGTGAAGAAGAAGAAGAAGAAGAAGAAAGAAAGAAAGAAAGAGGAGGAGGAGGTGGACCGTCACGTTCCCAATGTTGGTGTGAATTTGAAACCATAAGAAGGTTAATACTTACGGTGTACGGATCTACCGTGAATTTTGTTTAAGATTTTAAAAAAACAGAATAAAAAGTGAAAGATGGTTCGGGAAATTTTTTACCAATATTCATAACCATGAAGTGATTTTACTGATACAATTAAGATGTACCCCACGCCGGCGAGACTTCCAGCCGCTGCCGTAAGTACTTTTTTTGTTTATATTTTATATTCTCTGTTGTTAAATACTACAAAAATATAAAAATATTTTTAAATTTAGCTGAATTGTAAATAAATTTAACAAAAATTGATTTGGACTATTGCTGTACTGTTTTATTAGCAGTGAGAGGTTTTTTTTCCCGTTGCCGATATTGGCGGGAAGATAACCAAACTTGATTATTTAGAGGAAGTAAAAGTCGAAAAAAGATTTTTAATCTACGGAATGATTACTTAAATGTAGAAGCATTGTTTTTTTTTACAAAAAATAAAATTTAAACATTTTCTTTTACCTCAAGATATATATGTATGTAATGCTCGACGGTAAAAGAGACAACTGTAAAAAATTTTACATTATGTTTTAAAGTGAAAATACACAAAAAGCATTAACTTTTAGTACAAACCACTTATTTTTAAGTCTTTGTTACATCCAAAATATTCAATAACACTGTTTTTTTTTGAAGGTATCAATTTGGTACCAAATTATAACAAATTGATACCAATATTTGGCTCAAATTATATTTTGATCTAAATATTGGTATTCGTTGCAATTTGATACTTTCAAATTATCACTAAAAAGCTGATTTGGATTTTATATAATTAAAAATGAACATTTAATCCATGTAAAACTATCACTAAACATAACCAAAAACTTTTTTGCAAGTAAGGTCCCTATCACCCTTAAACGTCAGATATGAAAATAAAATAAAATTTTACTTAATTTATAACCTATTATCGATGAATCAAAGCCTTGTTGGAAAAGTCTTCTAAAATTCATATGAAGAGTTTAAACTCAATAATAACATAAGAAAATTAGGATAATTTAATTTTTGTGGTGAATTTTATTATAGTAATCTAAAACATTATAGTTACACGTAGACTTTGACTTGATTTATTAAACTTATGAACAAGCCCTTAAGGTGTTGTAAATAAAGTAGTTGACCTCTCTATAGTAATTCGCTGTCAGATTTTGATTTCCATCAATTACATTTTATTTTATTTTGTTTTTTTTTACATTTCAATATTTTCATTTAAGAATTTTTAAAAGGTAAAAATTTTAAAAGAAAAGCAAATCTTTTTTCTTGATATTATATACATATATATTTAAAGAATCCAACATTGAAATATATTTAATGTTTACCAATTTTAGAAGTGAAATAAATTATAGGTTATAATATTTTCTAAGAAGAATCAAGTTCAAGAAGAATCAAAATTTTGATATTTAATGAAAATTTGAACAGATCTTAAGTGCGATATATACAGAAAAGTCCCCTTTAATTTTGCGCATTAAAAGATCGATCAAGGTTTGCTCTGACCTTGGGAGCCTATTTTGGCCCAACGGTCTACGAAATCATTATAGTTTTTTTTTTTTTTCATTTTTTTTTCTTATTCGGAATATGAATTTGGATCTTTCGTTCCTATTCCTAATTAATGTTATAATATTAATTTGTGAAGTTGGGATTTTTTTTCACAATAGAAAACGTTAATTTAATTCCAAAAATGTATATTTTTACAATTATTACAATTTTCTATTCTAATATTCCTGATAAAAATTAAGTAAATTAAGTCATTTATTGGTTAAACAATATACGTTCAATGTAGGTCGAATATAGGTTCAACGTTCAAAGTCAGTTCATATTAGGTCAAAGGTAGGTTCAATGTTCAAAGTAAGTTCATATTAGATCGAATATAGGTTCAATATAGGTCTAATATAAGTTTACATTTGGTTCGAATTATCTCTAATATAGGTTTAAACTATAGATAAATATAGTTTCAACAATGTATGTACAATATAAGTTTAATGTATGCTAAATATAAGTCCAAAGGTGATCCAAATGTACGTTTTATTGTATAGGTTCAATATAAGACCTATGTAGAATCAAAGTAGGTTCAAACAAGGTCAAATATAGGTTCAAAGTAGGTACAATGTAGATCCAATCTAAGTTCTATTTAGGTTCACACTATTCAAATATAGCTTCGAAGTAGATCTAATATAGGTTCAAACTAAGTCAAATATAGGTTCAATGTAGATACAATTTAAGTCCTATTCAGATTCAAGGTAGGTTCAAGGTAGGCGAAATATAGGTTCAGTGTAGGTTCAATATAAGTCTTTACCTATATAGGATCAAAGTAGGTTCAAACTAAATCAAATGTAGGTCCAATGTAGGTTTACTGTAGGTTCGAAGTAGGTCATATATAGGTTCAATGTAGGATTAATATAGTTCCGAATTTGGTCTAATGTAGGTTTAATGTAGTTCAAATATAGGTTGAATGTAGGTTCAATATAGGCTCAGACTAGGTCAAATAAGGTTCAAAAGAGATTTAATGTAGATCCAATTTAAGTCCTATTTATGTTGAATGTATGTTCAAACTGGCTTAAATATAGGTTCAGTGTAAGTTCAATATAAATCCTATGCAGGATCGAAGTAGGTTCAAACTAAATAAAATATAAGTTCGAATTAGATCCAATGTTGGTTGTCACTAGTTTCAATATAGGTTCAGTGTATAGGTTTTAAAGTAGGTCCTGTATTGGTTCAAACTGGACCAAACTTAGATTCAACAATGTAGATTCAATATAGTTTTAATGTTGGCCTCATATAGGTCCAATGTAGGTTTAACGTATGTTTAATGTAGGTTTACTGTAGATTCGAAGTAGGTCAAATACAGGTTCAATGTAGGCTTAATATAGCTCCAAAGTTATTCTAATGTAGGTAAAATCTAGTTCAAATATAGGTTGAATGTTGGTTCGAAGTAAGTCCAATATAGGTCAAAAGTAGGTCCAATGTTTCAATGTAGGTTCAAATTAGGTCCAATCTAGATTGAAACTATTCCCAATATAGGTTGAATGTAGGTTCACTTGGTATTTAAGTGAAATAAAATTGAATGAATATAAAGTTTACACCAATATGTCGCCGCATGTCTTTCGTAGACTGTCGGACGTTTTAAAGAGTAAATCTCGCGAACCGTTCTTCCGGTTTCTCTCTTCTTCTCTCTCTCTCTTTCTCTCAGCGCCGTCGAGAAAAGCAATTTCTCTTTACGATAAAAATAAATCGCCGTATAGCTTCGGGAAAGCGGTAAAGAAGAACCGCGAATAGGAAGTGAGAGAAAAACAGACACGTGCGAAATCGGTGGCACTACCACGCCACGTCCGGTACGTAAGACTTTGAGGTCATGTGGTGCGTGAAATTACGAGTGTGGTTATATATATGTATACACAGAAAGAGAGCTCCAAAAGAATATGACAAAAAGTATAATACAGAAAAGGGTTAAAAAAGAAAATGTCTAAATCGATAGAATAGAAAAATATTATATCGAAAATAACGAAATGAAAAGAAAATTTGAAATAGTGTGTATTGGTTATAATAAACAAGCAATTATCGTTTTTGCCCTACCTTTATATATATTTTGTATAATATGTATATAAGGCTCTTCTTCATTTTTTATAAAATGGGCAAACATATATACCTAATGTGAAAAGAACCCCTACTTTCTGGTGAAAGAGGACATCGAGCCCACCAATTAGTTTTTTTTTATATACACCCTATATATGACTTAAGGGGAAGAGTTTTTTTTATGTATTCCCTTCGCTTATATGTACATTTAATCCCTACATATAGATAGAATATATGTATATATGTATATTTGTAAGAGTAAAATACGAGACTCATTGGCACGCGTTAGAACGTGCTGAATGACGAATCGCTCCAAAAACCCGTCATACGTTTCCTTTCGGATCTTAAACATGAAAGAATATCTACCAGGGATTATATATTTCCATTCGTGCGAATGTCAAATGTGCATCTAATTTATAAATCTTTCGTGTATGCGTATATATAGTTTATTTTTTATTCGGTAACTTTGTAGAGAAAAATTCTCTAAAAATAAATATTATTATAATTTTATTTGAATTGGTTTTTTTAGGATATACATTTGAAACTTAAAAATAGTTTCATTTAAAAATTTTTAATTTTCACTTGTTATAAATGTAGGTAACTATTAACGTCTTCCGTTCATGCTCTTTATACCCATCATGTCCAAAAGAATAAAAGTTTAAAGATTTTTGTTTATATTTTATTATAATCAAATAAAAATGTTAAAAAAAATTGAGTCGTGAATTTCGAAAAGGGCTCAACTCTAAAAACCGTAAGAGTCATTTTCACTGTCGATTGTTATGCTAAATGATATACTTACGCTTTTTTGAGTTGAGGTTGAATAAGGTTTGAATAAGGTTGAACATCGAATGAGTATATTATCCCACTTGGAAAGATTCTCCGGAAAATGCCCTCTGGAGATTCCATCAGAATTAAGTCGGAATTTCATCGGAGTTCCAAAGAATTTCCGATGAGATTCCGACGGAATTCCAAAGGAAATCCGATTTTTTAAACTTTTGAGTTATACACTTAATGTAGAACTCTAAAAATTAATAAAAAATTAATCGGAATTCCGTCGGAATCGCATCGGAAATTCTTTGGACCTCCGATGAAATTCCAACTGAATTCCGTTGGAAGTTCCGACGGAATTCTTATGGAATCTCCATGGGGCACTTTCCGGGGAATCTTTGCAAGTGGGATTTTTCACTTAAATTTTGGTATATTCTTTAAATCTGAATTGGTTACTTTTGACTAATTCGCCGATTCGTTTATGAAATAAATTAGTATAACCGTTTTGATTATGTTTTTAGTCAAAAATTACTAATTGATAGTAGTGCGTTCTTTCCGCTAAAATATATCGACCAAAGCGACAACGTCGGTTACCTAAGTTTTTACATCATACGCCAGAATAAATGATTGTTATTCTCTATTTTTAAATTAAATATTCGTATACTGGTAAAAAAATCTTCTATATTAGAAAAAAATAATTGTAATTCAATATCACTTTGCAAATATGCTGCCAACTTGGAAAACTGAAATTCCTGCCAAGAAAATTTTAAGGTATTAAAATAAGCTGCAACGCTTATTATTTTAATTCCTTTTAATTTTCTGTGAG